TCTCTCTCTTCCCTTTTCTCTCTTGGCTCTCCTACTGACCCAGTTTCTTCCGAGCAGTGTGTGAGAAGAGGGGAAAAAGGAAAAAGGGAACGACACATGCCCATTTCCTCTGGCTCAAACACCTCTACCACACAGGAATCGACTACAAAAACCAATCAGAAAAACAGACTTTGGCTCGCCTGCGTGTGGTGTACTCTTCAAAAGTCTATTGCTAAATTTCTGCTAGTTGAAAAGCGTAGGAATATTAAAATCTGTTCAATATGAATGCAAATGATGGATGTAAGTGTTCAGACACAGGATACAAATGCATACGAGTGCTGGTGATTCTGTGCATGTCTGGAAACGCTGAATTTCACCATGCAAAGAGAAACACTTGGAAAAATACACTGAGACCCTCAAGCAGATGCATGAAAAACTCATTATCTCTGCCTTCAGATCCACAACTGTGATTCAAAGACACTGGTGCAGAGACACTGTTAAAATGACTGCTAAGTGAAAAGTAACCAACTTGGCTTCTCTGAGAAATGAGGATGTGAGGCTTGCTTTTCTAAAAGCTGCGCTTAGCTAGAAACAAGGCGTCCTCTTACATTAAGACAAAAGATAGTGAATTGGCTTAATACTTGTCCTGAAGCTAAAATATTGTCAAAAGGGGAAGTTGGTCTAATAGTGTGAACAATGGTCTATCTGCTACACTGTGTTGCTGTACAATTAGGCCAAGCCAGTCATAAATAAAAGATCTCTCCTAAGGCTTTAAACAAGAGTGACAACAGATGGGTCTGGATAGCTCGGCCTGTTTTCCGCTGTACAGAAACTAACACTCTTGATGGATGTGCTGCTTGTTCCTGTGCAGCTAGTGTACACAAGACTCCTCCATATTATGCAACACAATGTTAAGTACGGACACGGATACACGGACAAATTTGCTCACCGTGTTGTAGACAGAGTAAGCAGCTAGTACGTGAAACAGCGCCTGTTGCCTGGAGAGAGAACAGAGAAGCCACCAGTTAAAACAACCAAACAAACTGAAACGCTGTGTTGGAGTAAAGCGGTTCAATTGAACCAATTATTTAATCCACCCAGTCGCTTAATCAACCCTCAGTATTGTTGCTACAGATTTAAGTTTTAATGTGTGACAGGACTTCTGTTATGGCTGAAAAAAATGTCCAAAAAGATAACTTTTATGGTTTTCTTTTCGTAATGGCTGACCTTGTGAAGTAGAGAAGTATATATTTTGTTCATGATATGTGAAAATATGCTGTCATATATGGAAAGCCCCACAGATCTTCCAGAAATTACATCTGATCACAACTGCTTCAGACCTTGAAAACAGGCAGCCAATGTGTGTAGGCTAATGTGTACACACGGCGTAGGGATCGTAACAGATCTAATGTACGCAGATGTAGATAGGACAATGCCCCCACAGGCTTCTATAGTAAATAGATGTCTTATGGACAGTGACAGAGACAGGAAAGGAGCTTTAAATAGCTGTCAGTTTCTCAGTGTGTGTGAGACAGCTGCTGACTTGCAGGGAAGGAGTGGGCAGCCAGGCAGGATGAAGCGGTGTTTTGGTCTATTTGGACTCGGTGGCTTTGAATTGGAGGGGAAGTACATTACAAAGGGCAAAAAACAGAGCACTCAGTTACACACTCAGAGTGAAGAGTAACACATAACAGCGCCTTGCCCCAAGCAAATACAATGAGAAACACAAGAAGGTATTTAGTGTTTGGAAGGTAAGTCTGTGTACGTTTGGTGATATAAGTTTCTGTTGTTGCAGTGGTATTACAGTACATGTGACGCCAGCGCACATTTCTGTATAATGCCATTTCCTGTGGGGCTTTGCGCACTGACAGGAAGGCTAATAAAATGCAGAGAGGAGGAAACCACATCTTTGGTTTTGTGTGTGTGTGCATGGCACTGTGTGAGTGCGTATGTAAGTGGGGAGGGGACAGGGCTACTGCAACGTTTAGGTCAGAGGTCACAACCTGCAGGAACCTCTGTCAGGGGAAACCTGGACATGTGACCTGACAAAACAAAACAAAAAAACCTGACAAGGCCACTTGTAACAAAAAA